TACCCGAAGTGCCGAATCTACCACCCGCTCGTGTGCCCTGTGATCAGTTTGCGGTCCGTCCAAGCAGACCTGAGCTTGCGCTGCAATGCAGCCTGCCGCCCATCTCCTCCTGCCTGCCCTCCTGCCTGCTTGCCTGCAGCGTGGCCACCATTCGCTGCATCCTGACCCTCGCTGATGCCACGCACAAGCTGGTGGAGCTTGTGATGGACGGGCGCCTCTACTTCATCAGCGGCGAGGAGACGGAGCTGCGCGAGGCTCTGGGCGGCGTGTCGCGGCTGCATGAGTCGAGCCTCGACCTGGAGCTGGTGAAAGGCGTGGGAGGGGTCGTGAAGGTGAGCGCCACCCATAGCCCTGGGCATGCATGGGATGTTGGGCGGTGCTCTGTATTGCGCACTTGTTCGTCGTGAAGCTCATATTCTACTTGCTGTGTGCATGCTCTATGTTCCTGCTGCCCCTGCCTGCAGCTGCTGGTGCTGAAGGCGATGACCGCGGGCGAGGTGGCGGTGTTCAGCCGCAAGTGGCTGCAGACCTGCGTGTGTGGGCTGCAGCACCAGTTCCGGCTGGCAGTGGACGGCATGCCGGGCACGGCGGCGGGCTTCCATGCCTGCCTGGATGCGATCCTGGGCGGCGTGCTGCCTCTGGTCTCCCGCGATGCATCCGTGCCGTACCCAGCCAGCTGGAGCTTTGAAGGGTGCGCGTGGGCCATCTCCCAGCTGCGGTGAGCCACCCGAGTTGAGTCAATGGTAGTCCTCCTCACACATCCTGGCCTCACACAGCCAGCTGGGCAGCTTCCAGCCAGGAACTGCCTGCATCGGCTGACTGCATCGCAATCGCCATGCATTGCTGCTCTCCTCAGCATGCTTTCCAGTTATGCGGATGTGCTGCTGGTGCATCGGAAGGCAAAGAAGCAGAGGAAGGAAGCTGAGCATGCCTTGCCGGGGTTTGCAGTGCTGATTGGCCACATAACCGTGCTCCTGGCTCAGTCGGAGCACAACGCAGATGAGCTGCTGACAGGTGTGGGTACCGCCTGCTGACCTGTCTCAGTGGACTAGCATGCAAGCTGAAGAAACAAACCGCTGAGATCTGTTGTGCACGCCCAGCCCTGGCACGAGCGCTATGTCAAGCAATGATTCCGCCTGCGTGTCTGTGCGTACTGGGTCTGCTGCAGGCGACAGCGTCGTTGCGCTGGGCAGGCTGCGCGAGCGGCGCCAGCTGGCGCAGGCTGTCACGACAGCAGCGCACTGCCTGCTGGACGTCCTGCGCTGCTACTGTGCTGCCGTCGAGGTGCCTGCCAGCCGGTTCAGCCCGTACGCCTCTTTGTTGGTAGATCTGTGCGGGCGGCTTGTGGCAGACTTGGACCGCACTGCGGATGGAGATGGCAGCGGCGGCACCCCGCTGCCGCCAGCCGTCCAGACGCTTGTGAGCGCAGCAGCAGAGTGGCTGGTGTCCATGCTATCGGTATTCAACCACGCCAGGCTGGTGAGGCCTGCCTGCTGCAGCTCATGCGTGCCGCTGCTGGCGCTGGTGCGGAGCGACGACGCTGCCCCTTGCTTGCTTGCCTTCCCGTTGCTTGCTTGCTGTGGTGCAGGCCATCCCTGGATGGAATCGAGACGACCCTCCTGTCATCAGCGCCGTGCTGCGGATTCTGAGGCACCAAGTGATCCAGACTGCGCTGCTGGTGAGTCGACAAGAAGGAGAAAGAACTGCTGCTGCTGCCACTGGAAGCAGTCCGCGCCTCCGGTCGCAGATCCTGCTCCCCGCTCTCCGTGGCACACCCAAACAGTCTCTCATAATGGCCGCGCCTCGACATGCAGCTCCCTCGTGGGTGTGAAGCGCTGACCACTGATCTCCTCACGTCCTCTGCCCTAAATGACCACATCCCGCCCTCTGCCAAGCTGTGGCACATGCGGTGCGCCGCCACCTAGCTGCCAGCACGCCGCGGCACAGTGTGGCGCCTGCTGTCCCTGTGACTGTAGGGAAGGGGAGCATCAGGCTGACCTGTATGGTTCTTCATGCAGACTTCGTTCGGAGCAGCTCCCGATGACGGCGTCCGACGAGGAGGATGAGGAAGAGGAAGAACTGCCCACCCTGCTCATCAGTCGTGCTGAGCTTGTGGAATCGAGCTACTCAGAGCTGCTGCCAGTGCCCTCAAAGCACCTGACTAGGCAAGCCAGCGGTGCAGGGGCCTGGGAGCTGCTTGGTGGCTGCGGTATGTGCTGACACAACGCCCCCTGACATGCCAGGCAGCTGGCAGGTACCGGATCGGCTGCGTGGTGTGGCAGGGGCAGGTGGCAGGACCAGCAGCTGGCAGCCGCGCAACCCTCAAAGCTATCAAAATGACTCAATGATACCTCGGTAGCATCTCACGAATTTTCTAACTCTGGCACTGCCTGAGCTTGCAGGCGCCTGCAGGTGCGGTTTGCAGGGGAGCCTGGCTACGGCGCTGGCGTGGTGCGTGAGTGACTGGGCTTGCTGATCGCAGAGCTGTTCCAGCCAGACCTGGGCCTCTTCATCCGCTGCGGCAGCAACCCGCTGGCGCTGCTGCCCAACCCAGGTGGCTGCCGTGACGGGCCACATGCTGCTGGCCTTCTATTGACGGGCGTGCTTTGCCCACATCAGCGCCACCTACGCGCTCAGGCCCTGCGCATTTTCCTGCCTGCCATGCCCTGCAGCTGCCTCGGTGCAACCCAATCACCTGCAGTACCTTCGGGTGGCAGGTCGGGTGATGGGCATGGCACTGCTCCACGGCGTGCCGCTGGGCTTCCATCTGGGCAAAGCTTTTTACGCTGGCCTTGCAGGCAGCCTGCACAACTTGTCAGAGTTGAACTTCCTGCTGCAGTGCCAGCAGGAGGTGGATCCGCAGGCATGTGGGCATGGGCATGGGTGCAGCTGGCTGGCTAGGCTGCCTGGAGGCACGGCAGCTGCCTGCGTGCATCCCACAGCTGCTCTCACCCTGGCTCTGCACGCTGGCTGCTGCTCCCTGGTGCAGCTGCACAGCACACTGCGCGGCATCCTGGATGCTCCAGCCGACTCAGTGAGCAGCATGTGCCTGACATTCCGCATCACATGCGACCGGCTGGGGGAGGCGGTGGAGGTGGCTCTGGGAGGTGAGTGGGCACGCTTCGCGTCAAGCGCCGGGTGCCCCGTGGGCGAGATGCCTCTGCAGCATGAGCATGTAGCTGTAGCTCCCTTCTGCTGCCCCTTCTCTCAGGCAAGCCTGACAAGGCGGTCACCGCCGCCAACCGCGGGCAGTACGTCAGGCTGGCCCTCCTGTACTTGCTGAGCCAGCGCACAGCGCAGGAGGTGGCCGCCTTCCGGACAGGCCTGGAAGATGTGCTGCAGGTAGGGAGGCGGGGCGTCAGCATGGCCCGGCAGATGGCCCCCTGCTCCGCCCAGAGAATAGCTGCACCCGAGACTGGGCGCCATTGCTGCACTCTTACACTGCAGCTTTCCCCGACGCGCATGTTCTCGTGTGCGGCCCTGAACGCCTACATCGCCGGGGCCGCCGACACCGGGTCGGCGGAGGAGTGGCGCCAGCACACGCGCTGTGTTGGCTGGCCTGGGTGGCGCGGGGCTGGCGCTGTGGGGCAGGACAGCATGGCGGTGGATGGAGGCGGGGAGGAGCCTCAGGTGCGCTCTGGCTGCCTTGGTCGGCCGGCAGAGCAGATGGGCAACCTGTCTGCTGGCCAGGAGAGCACCTGAGCGCGGCACCTGCTCGCTGCTGGTGCTGCGGCTCCCTGCAGGCCCTGAAGTGGTTCTGGGTGCTGCTGGCACACATCAGCGAGGCGCAGCGCCTCGCGCTGCTGCGCTTCTGGACGTCCCTGCCCTCGCTCCCCTTGGGAGGGTTTTCCGCGCTGCCGCGGCGGCTGGCCATCGTGCGAGCTGACCACGCGACCCAGCGGTTCCCCCAGGTGTGCCGCGACCTGCCAGCCTGCCTGCTGGGCTCCCAGCCGGCGCGCGCTTCAGCCTGCCTGCCCCAAACGTCTCCATGCAGGCGCATACCTGCTTCTACCAGCTGGTGCTGCCCGAGTATCCCGACATCCTCAGCATGGCAGGTAGCTGGGCCAGTGTGGATGGGGGATTGCATCGCCATGGGCTCAAGCTGTGCCAGCCTGGCAGGGGGTGTGCTGCAGTTGCGGGCCTGCTCATGCCTGCAGCGTGCCCTGCTGCTTCCATGGACCGCAGCGGGCCTGCACGAGGCAATCGCTTCCGCCGAGGGCTTTGGCATGGCGTGAGCGCGCAGGAAGAGGAGCAGCAGGCCTGGTAGCGCTCCCGCACACAATGCACTGCGTGGTGTGTTATTACGCAGCCTGATGTAATTTGATTTGTGTACTATGTGTGGTGAAGTTGGGCAGGCTCCTGAAAACAGCCACATACTTGGAGCCTGGTATGCTTGCTGAGCTGCCAGCTCCGCAGCCGCAGGAGCCTCGCTTGCAGCTTTCTGCGCTCCAGCGACCGCCGGTTGAATTGTTACCTCCGATGCACTGGAGGGACCGCCGCTACACCGCCGCCCGAGGCTGTGCGCCGCTTCTTTTCCACGCGGTGATGCGAGCCGCCATTGCGCAGTGTGGTGCCGTTTATGTTGCGAGGGTGGGTAGAGGGTCACTGGGCTCTGCTGCCGCCGTCTGCTGTGCCAGGGGCACGCTGCTCGTGTGGTTGCGGGTGAGCAGTGCGCGGGCGAGCCTGTCCTCCTCGCTGCGCCCCCGCTTCCGCCGCGCTTGCTTGGCGGCCCGCACCTTGATGGGCTCCAACCGCTCCGCCTTGCGCATCTCCTCCGCCGTGCTCCGCAGGTCCAGCGCCTTCTGGAGCAAAGCCTGCTTGCTCTCCTCTGGCAGGTCGGCCATTGCGCGGCTGACGTAGAGCAGGGCGTCGCGTGTTGCCGCTGTCGTCTCGTCGGCATTGGTTGGGTCATGGAAGTGATGTGGCGCCATCTGCCACACGCTCACCACCTGGCTGCCAGCCGCATGCCGGAACTCCAGCGCGTACGGGCAGCTGCACTTGGATGCATGGGAGCAGACATACTTGAGCGCCCACTTGCCCGCCGCTTTCTTCTGCAGGCCGCTCCGAATGGCGGCGACATCAGCCACCGCCGTCGACTCGCCGGCACCGTCTTGCTGGGCAGCGCCAGCCGCGTGCAGGGCTGCGTACAGGTGGGGGAACATACAGGTGTGGGAACGTGCCGTTTACCGATTGGAAGGGTGGGGAGAGGAAGAGTCACTGCTGCACCTTGTTGCCCTTCGCTTCCCACAGCCCTGGACAAGGAGGCGCACCTGGAACTGCATAGTGCAGCGCCTGCACCTCAGCATCAGCGAGCCCTTGCAGAGAGCGTGTGCCGAGGAGCACGTGTTCCAGCAGCGCCGAGTCAGGCTTCATGCGGCGCAGATCCACAGGTGCGGCATGATTGAGCTGGTGGTCCGACAGCCAGTCATGCACCTCTCGCAGGGGCAGGGCGGTGACTAGCTCCACCGGCTCTGACAGCTGCAGCGTCTTGCCATCAGCTGGCTGCCCCATTGCATGCAGGTAGTCGCCTTTGAAGTTGTGGCGGATCCTCTGGCCCTCCAGCTCGCACGTCCAGCCCTCGCAGCTCTGGGTAGCAGGAGTGGGGCAGCAGCTGATTGGCAGGAGAAGATGTCGACAGCCAGGCGCGCACCACCACTGGCCGGGGCGCAGGGGCGACTACGGCAGCATGCAGCAGTGGGCATGAGCCTACCTTTGCGACGATTGTGCCCAGTGCAGGCCTGTGCGTGCCCAGCACCACCTGGATCCGCTGACCTAGTCCAGCTGGCGGGACGCGCTCCTTGTGGTGCACGAGCGGCAGCTCCAGGTACGTCTCAGCTATGGCTTTGTCGCGTTGTCCTTCTCGTGGGTGCTCCCAATGCACATGCCACCGCGGTGTGCCATCGTCACAAGGCTCCCCACGCCTGCTGATTGTGCCGTAACCACGTGAGGTCCGATGGGTCATGTCATAGACAGAGGCGCCTACGCGATGGCCGCCCTGTTGCACTGCAGGCAGAGCACAAGGCATGGCAGAAATGTGAGCGGGAGGACTGTTGCATGGGCGCCAGGCGAGGGCGGGGCAGCAGGACGCACGTGAAGCATAGTCGGGGGCTGCGACCTGATCCTGTGCATCCAGGGTATTCACATTAATGTGTCTGGCTGCAGTGGAGACAAGGAGAGGAAGATTGATGGATGAGCTAGGCTGCAGCAGGAGCAGCAGCAGCAGGAGCACACAACGGCGGCAGCTGCTCACGTCGCCGAAGTGCTGGACCGGGGAGGGCAGCTCCCGCGGCTGCCGGTGGCAGGAATGGTAACTGATTTGTGACCATGATTGTAAGCAGCACCACTACACTAGCATGAGGAGAGCATTCTGCAAGGGAAGGGTGGTCGAGAGTCAGTGCCGCCAGCTGCGGGCGCCGTTCAAAAATGCCCAGGTGCATGGAGGAGTTTATCGGTCTGGCCGTCCTCCCAAAACGTTTATCACGCTACCTGAAGGCAATCCAGGCACGAGGGACGCGCCTGAAGTTGGTTTGCAGGTGGTTTAGCGCCCGCTGACAGGTGGTGGGAGCTCGCTGGGCTTGTCGTCCCGCTTTGTCGGAGCCCAATGCTTGTAATGGTCGAATGGGGCGTCTGGAACTGCATTTCCTAAGGGCGCTCTGGCTGCTGGGGCCAGCTGGGTGTGCGTGGCAGAGGCGTCCTCAAAATGGTGAGCCTCTCAGCCGTCTTCCAATCGCCTTGACCTCACGGTAGCGATCGTATGTAGTTCCACTGCTCAGTTGGGCGCAATGGATCAGCAGGCGCGCGGCGCAACTCAGCCCGCGCTGGCCGCCTGCCCCAGCGCCTGGTCGATGTACTTTGGTCAGGAGAGCTACGAGCCGCACGACCGGCGGGCGCTGCTGATCCGCGACCTGGTGCAGCACTTCAACTCGCCCGCCGGCTGGCAGCAGCTGCTGGCGGCACAGGCGTGGCACTCGCGCTGCCTGCTGGAGCTGGACTGGCAGCAGCTGGTGCAGCTGTCGAGCAGCAGGGACTTACAGGAGGCCATGCTGCACGCGCCGGCAGAGGCGCTCAGCTGCATTGCCTGCGCCGCGTTTGAGGTGCGGCAAGCGGGTGCTGGTGCTAGCGGCAGCACAGGGTGCAGTGCCACCTCCCTGCCTTGACGCACTGCAGCTGCTCTTCGCTTGCACGCAATTGTTGCCAGCCCAGGCCGCCTCCCTCTGCCCTTGCCCCCGCCAGGTGCTGTTCCGGGTCCGGGTGGCGGCGACGCGGCAGGCGCTGGCGGCCCTCCAGCAGCCCTGCAAGGTGCTGGTGCGGCTGGCCAACCACCCACGCGCCTTCCGCACCATCTCCTCCATCAAAGCCGACTCAATCGGCCGGCTGGTCAGCGTGCGCGGCACGGTGGTGCGAGCCACCCCCGCCCAGCCGCTGGTCACCGAAATGGAGTTTGTGTGCGGCAAGTGCGGCGCCCCGCAGCGCGCCACCTTCCCCGACGGCCGCTTCACGCCGCCGGCAGCCTGCGGCGAGGGCGGCTGCCGCAGCCGCACCTTTGCGCCCAACAAGGGCGTCTCGGTCTGCATCGACTGGCAGCGCGTGGGGCTGCAGGTGCGGCGGCACGGCGGCGGGTGCGGTGCAGAGCTGGGCTGCTGGACTGTCAGGGGACAGCTCTTGGCCTCAGAGCACTCTTTGCTTCTAGATGCTGGCCGACATGCTTCTGAGCACTGCCGTGCCTCGCACGCTGTGTGCTGGCAGGCTGGGTTGCCATGCGTGGCCAGGCCTGGTGCCTGCTCACCTCCCGGCCTCTTCTCACTCGCCCCCACCCCTTTCACTCCACTCCTCGCTGCACCCCCCCTTGCTCCTCCTCCCAGGGCCTGCCCAAGGACGAGAAGGGAAGCCTGGGGCGCGTGCCTGTGCCCATAGGCGTGGAGCTGAGCGAGGACCTGGTGGGCCTCTGCGCCCCGGGGGATGTGGCCACAGTGGTGGGCATCGTCAAGGTGTCCGGCGGAGAGCCCACGGCTGGAGGTGGGTGCGCAAAGCAGGCGGCCCACCCGCCGGCATCGTGGCAGGGCTGCTGCCGGTGGCGTGGAGAAGGCTGTAGGCTGCTCGTCGGGTGTGCCGGCCTGCTGCGCGTTGCGGCGCTGCCCATCCGATGCGGCGCGCGGGTCCCAGCGCAGGCCGGCCCTGCCGCCGCCGAGCCGCCACGCCTGCCCACCCGCCTGCCTCCCCGCTGGTGCAGGCAAAAAGCAGGGCGACCCAAAGAAGCAGTGCCTATTCCTGCCCTGCATCGAGGCGGTGTCGGTGGTGGTGGCAGGCAAGGAGAACCAGCGGCCCGGCCAGCAGCAGGGCATCGAGGCGGGCGGCTGCGCAGCGGACGGCAGCGGCGGCGGGGGCGGGGGAGTGCCTGGCGGCGCGGAGGCCGACGACGGCGCCAGCTTCCTGCCGCCCAGCATGCCGGGCTTCAGCCGCCTCGACCTCGACTTCATCTGCACCTTCACGGAGGTAGTACTGTGGCTGGGTGGCATGTGGGAGGTGGGGCGATTCGCGCGCGTGTGTGTGTGTGTGTGTGTGGTGGGTGGAAAGGCGGGACACGAGGTGGGGAAGGGGCGCAGGCTGTGGCCTGCCCGGCCGTGCAGACCCGCTGCCTGCCTAGTGAGCACCACGACTTTTGCGGCTGCCCAGCCCTCCCAGCCCCCCTGCCCCCGACCCGCAGGCCTGCCAGGGCGACCAGCTGCGCCAGCTGGTGCACTCGCTGTGCCCCTCCATCTTTGGCCAGGAGCTGGTCAAGGCCGGGCTGCTGCTGGCGCTGCTGGGGGGTGTGCGCAAGGCGGGGGGCGCAGACGGCGGCATGGCGCTGCGCGGGGATGTGCATGTGCTGCTGGTGGGGGACCCTGGGCTGGGCAAGAGCCAGCTGCTGCAGGTGAGGCGGCGGCGGTTGCCGGGGTGGCAGCGGCGGATGGGGTGTGGTGGGTCGGAAGGTTGCATGGCGAGTGTGTGGTCATGCCGAGGGGCAGCTGGATGGCACTCGAAGGGCCCTGCTCACTCCGTCCCTGCCTACTACGCTGCACGCCACCCAACATGCATACATACAACTCACCCTAGCCATTTTCAACGCCCCCTGTGGGTGGAGGTGGCATCCTCCTCACCATCTTTTGCTCTTTGCAATCGCGCCTGCTCCACACAGGCGGCTGCCGCCGCCGCCCCGCGCGGCGTCTACATCTGCGGCAACACCAGCTCCGCCGCGGGGCTGACGGTCAGCGTGGTGCGGGAGAACGGGGAGTTCGCCTTCGATGCCGGGGCGCTGGTGCTGGCCGACCGCGGCGTGTGCTGCATAGGTGGGTGCGTGAGTGGTTATTCAGTGCTTGCGCAGCTGGTGCTTTGCTACCACACCGCCACACCAGCACGCCACTTACCCCACCTTGCCCTCTCCCACCTTACCCTCCCACCTCTCCCACCGGCCACCCACCCACCACCCACCACCTCCCACCCGCCACCCCACCCCAGACGAGTTTGACAAGATGCGCAGCGACCACCAGGCGCTGCTGGGGGCCATGGAGCAGCAGGAGGTCAGCGTGGCCAAGGCGGGCATGGTGGCCTCACTGCCCGCCCGTACCACCGTGCTGGCCGCAGCCAATCCGGTGGATGGATCCTACAACCGCGGCCGCACGCTGCTGGTGGGTGGATGGGTGGTTTGGTGGGGTGGTGCGGGCACGTGTGGTGGCGCACGGGTGTTGGTGGGGAGTGTTCGGCGGGTGGGGCGGTTGTGGCTTTGGGCTAAGGGGCAGGGCAAAGCTGCAACGGCTGCAGGATGCTGGCCAGCAGGTGGCTGGCCGGGGGCATCCATGCCTGCGCTTCCTGGCCTCCCTACCCATCCCCACGCCCACGCCTCCACACCACACACTCCAGCCATGCACGCCACCCACCCGGCCCCTGCACCCGCCCCCGTGCAGGAGAACCTACGTGTCAGCCCCGCCATGCTGTCCCGCTTTGACCTCGTCTTCCTGCTGCTGGACAGGCCAGACGCGCAGCACGACCAGCGCCTGTCGGAGCACGTCATGGCGCTGCACTCAGGGGTGGAGGCGCGGGCCACCGCAGCACGCAGCCGCTTGCTGGAGGGGCCCTCGGGCGGCCAGCCGCTGCTTCTGACGGACGGCGGCGGCGGCGGCGGCGGACGGCCCGCGCTGCTGGACCGGCTGCGGGTGCGGCGCGGGGACGACGAGCCGCTGCCGCCGCAGCTGCTGCGCAAGTACATCGCGTACGCGCGGCAGTACGTGCACCCCCGCCTGTCAGGCAAGCCAGGGCTGGGGGAGGAGGGCGGGGAAGGAAGGGTGTGAGGAGGGACGCCGGGCATGCTGTGCATGCTGTGCATGCTGTGGTCTGGCCTTGCGCTCGCCCTGTTCCCCCTCATCCTTCTTATCCACTGAATGCTGGATCTCCCTCACACAC